TATCTAGGAACTAATAGTCAGTTAGCTCTCAGTTTAGCACCATATTCTTTTTTTGAGCATTTATTCCACCAAATAAATAGCATTAATATTAATTAATCATGTTATTTAATCCATATCTACAACACTGATTCTACATTTACAGGTAGCGTTTTAATTATAGATTTGTAATAATGTGCTAATTATTCTTATTCTGTATTTACAGTCAAAGATGACGTTCAACAACAGCTGCTACATTTAGCTTTATAATTACAGCTCATTCAATCTGACTGATCATCATTTTATTTTATTAATTTTATCTGCTTTTATCAGAAATAATTATCAGGAAAATAATTAACTGAAAATGTGTAATATGTAACTCGTGATTTAAATTTTTTTTTTTTAAATATTGTAACTAAGAAATGTTTCCCGTTTTTTAATTATTTGATTTATTATGAGGATTTTATTTATTTTTATGATTTTTGTATTTCCTCTCCTCCTATTGTCTAATTTTAATGTGTATGTATTGTTGTTATTTATGTTTGTTTTAAAAAATAAAAAATAAAAATCAATGTATGAAATATTATTGCCAGTTTGCTCTGTTAAGCATCATAATATTTTTTTAGCATTTGTTCCACCAGACACATCATTAATATTAATTAATCTATATACGACATGTCATACTGATTGCTGATTATTACACATTACAGGTTTTATACTGTATATATATACATATATATTATATGATGTATATATATATATATGTGTATATATATATATATACACATATAGTATATATAATAAATATATAATAGTGTGTATATATATATATGTATGTGTATATATATATATAGTATATAGTATATATAAAAATAGTATATATATAAAAATATATAATAGTGTGTATATATATATATGTATGTATATATATATATAGTATATAGTATATATAAAAATAGTATATATATAAAAATATATAATAGTGTGTATGTATATATATATATATCTAAATGAAAGTAGAGTAAAATGTGTCTGCACCAATGCTTTACGCTCCAGAAACAACAGTGGTGAAGAGGTCAGAGGTCAAAGCCTGGAGAACTGTCTGAGGCGGCTTTAAAAATAAATCAGCCTGAAATTAGTTGGAACATCTGTGTCACATCTTTTCATCTTTTCTCCTCTGGAGCTTCACAGGTAAATTATTCTCATCAGCTCCATCTTTGGAGAGAGAGAGGAGCCTCTTTCTGTCTTTGTTCCAGATTTTCATCTTGGAACATTTATTGTAATTTAAATTCTGAACGTTAAACATGTTCGAAGTGAAGATAATCTAAAGTTCTGCGACTTTAAGGATTTCTTTTTTCCTGCGTCGCGCTCGACAAACTGTTCATATTTCATTTCATGTCAGGAGTCCAGACTCGCTCCACAGGCTCTGATGACCAGACTTAAAATAGAGCTGGAGGAGTTTCACCTCAACAAGTAACGTGATATCCACGGTGTTCCCCTCCTCTCCGCCCCCACACAACACCGTCAGTGCCAACAGGTAACCACAACAGGTTTATAGCAGTCAGCATGTACTGAGGACTCAGCCCAGATCTGATCAGCAGTGATGAAACTGAGTTTGACTGGATTTCACGGTGATTATAACCATTGGTCACACTCAGCGGAGCATGTCTTATTCCATATTTCACTGTATTTCACAGCGTCGATACGATGTCACACTTATTACCCATCAGCCATCTGCTAATGCTAACAACATTAGCCTGTTACCATCAGGTAAGACGTTCCACCATCCACACATCAGAGCTACACAAATGTTATATATCTACATACATCCAATTTCCACATATGAAATACATATAAAATAAGATTATAAACTTCTCGTCTCGTTGTATGTAAAAAACAATATATAAAACCTTTTAGAAATTGGAATAAACAGCACCAGTCTTGATACAGGGACATTATGTCAGATATTATATTCCTGCACTGAAGTTACTGGATCCTCAGTTTTCTTTTGATTGTCCTCAGATCTCACGAAAGACTAAAACTAAAGCTCCGATGCCTCAGATCGTCTGATGATAAAAATGAGTTTTTAAAGAGGCTCAGTAACAGCAGCTGGACACTCGGTCTTAAGCTCCTCAAACAGGAGGAAATAGCACATTTGCTGGGGACTATTTTCAGTGGCAGACGAATCCACATTAGGAGGTGTGGTGAGTCTTTCCAGCAGCAGAGGAATGAGATATCAGGACTTGTTAGCAGGAGGATCAGTTCACTGTTGGTTTTGGTCCTTCAATGGGATTTTGTTTCTAGTACCATAATCACAATTTTTGTAGCATTGGTTCCAGTGAACAGAGCAGCTGCCCAGACGAACGTGAGAGCAGCTTCACGTCCTCTGCAGAGTCTCAGTCTGAACATCAGCGACTCAGACCGAGCCAACACAGAGAAGCTCACGCGTTAACACATATGTGATCTCAGGACGTAAAGTGACCTTACGTAACAGAGCGACTCTTATCTGTGCTCTGCAGCGGGGAGGGTTTCACATCTGGACTTAGTTGTCGAGAGGTCAGTGAAGGAGCACGTCTATTCTCGGGGCGTCCTGATCCTCCTGATCCTCTGCAATAAGACGACAATTTGGAAATGGAAGCTTCGGTTTCACGTTTTGCATCAGGATCAGTTGGTAAAATGTTAAACACATGTTTGAGTCATCGGAGTGCGTTAATAGATAAATACCTGGATGATGCTGGTGGGGTTTTTTTTGGTCTGGGCAGGATGTGGAGCCCAGAGGAAACGGCACTGATTAGATTTCCTTGGGACAACTTCAATCAACCATCAAGTTGCTGATTGAAATCATGCTGTTTACCCAGAATTCCTCCTGACAGCAAACTACACGAAACGCAGGATCACAGCAGGCACACAATATAAAGTGACATCAGTAGTAATTAGTATTTCAGATATTCCCCAGTAGCCATCAAAGTTAATTAATCCATATCTACAACACATCACAGTAATTTTTAATTATAGATTTATATTAATGCTCATGTTTTAAATCCAGAATTATTCTAACAGCTGCTACATTTTGCTTTATAATTGAATCTGACTGTTAATTTAATCTTATGGTTTTAATGCTATTATCTGAAATTATAAATGTAAGAATGACTGACCGTTTATTGAAAAGACACATTTCTAACTCCTGTGATTAAGATGATTTTAAGTGTCAGGTCTGAAAAATGTTTCCTGGTTTATTTCAGGGGATTATATTTGTGTTAATGGTGAACTGAGTGTAATGTATTTTCTGTTGAAGCTGCTGGACCGCAGAACAAAGCCCCCACTGCAGGAGAACTGATCTCAGATCATTGGAGTATTACAGGACGGTGTTTTGCTATAAAGTGAAAAATGTTTCCTGGTTTATTTAAGAGCCGACGACGCAGCGCGCAGAGATCAAGAGCCCGGCTCTATAAAATCATACTGCTCATGTGTTAATGTTCAATTATTTTTATTTAGGTTTTTATGTGATGAGCGAGATGGGAGAGGAGCGTTTAACACATCATATTCTCTGCACTTTGATTGATATTCAAGCGGCTTCAAAAAACTTGATTACACTCATGATGTATCTATAAAACTTTTATAGTTTTTAAAGCACATTATGTTTTATTGACTTTTATATTGACTTTCTGTTAAAGGCTTGGCTGCAGTTTCACAGTTTCACACTCATGTAAAAACTAATGCATTTTACAATTGATTCAAAACATTAGAAACATATTTGTGGAATTATAACTACAATTTTAATATAATTCATTATTATACATATATTATATATAGTCCTATAGTTTTGGAAAAACTCCATTTAATTGAACTCTACATAAGTGTAACACCACAGTGTTTCTGAAGTTATGAATTATTTTATTACGTTTTTTTTAATCTGTATTTGTGATCCAGCAGCTGAACTCAGCAAACATTGTTCAGAAAGTTGCAGAAGAAGAACGAACGTGTGTCGCTTGTTGCTTTGCTTTCACCTTCAGTCCAGTTCATCCCAGACCAGCTCCTGGTCTGACTGAAGCCTCAGTGCAGTGTCGTCCTGATGCGTCACTTTCTTTAAAGGCTTAAAACTGTAAGAGCAGTTTACGTGCACTACTGCAGGAAACATGGAAGTTCAGGGTTTCTCAGTGTTTTCTTATTGCGTCGTCAGTTTACAGTTTACCTCTGTCTCACTGAGGGTTTTTCACTGGACTGAAGCTGCTGAAACGCAGTAAAAACTGGGAAAGCGGCTCTTGACATGGAGTGAGAACATGTTTCTGCTGCTGCAGCTTCTCCTGTTGCCTTGTATTTATTATTTGAGGCTGACACTCTGATCCCTGACGGCTGCTGATGATGGACCGACATCGTGGATTTGATGAATGGAGCCTGACAGTGTCGGTGCTCTGCTTCGAACACAATCATAAAAAACCCGCTCGTGTTTTTCTGACATTATTGCCGCACACGTTGCTGTAAACACGCGTGAAGACGTGAGGAGATGAATTTACTCTGACGGCCGGTTACAGCTCGACTTCGTGGAAACGCTTTCGCTGCTCTGCCACTATTTACAACCTTTGTCTGTCAGAACACAACGTCACGTCACGCAGTCGATCCGAACGACCGGAGACACTGAACACAACCGCTGCAGTTCAGCTCGTCACAGATGAATTAGTTTTTCATCATCGGGCCCAAATCTTTATTTTAACCATGTCTGTGTTTCACTCTGCACTTTACAGGCCACAGCTGGGGAATCCTGTAAAAGCCGCCGAGACACGGGGAGAAATTGAAAAAGTATTTTTTAACAAGCTCACAGAGGATGAATCCTGCTAAATTCAGACTTTCCCTCTGTGATATCTGAGATTAAAGCAGAAGCAACATTAAAGAAGCATGTTTCTAAATTTGTGGAGCGTGCTTCAGGAGGTTGAGCCTCTCCACACTCAAGTGTCCTCGTCGTCTTTACTCAAACGATTTCCTGAAACACTTTGAACAAGACAAGATGAAAGTTTCATTCGCCTTACCTGTGGTTGCCGGGCCAGCTGTCTGTCAGTCTGTCACGCTCAACAGTTCCTCGCTTTCTCTTGTTTCTATAGTGTGCTGCTCTCCGCTCTCCTCCCCCCCCCTTTTTCTGTCTCGCTACACGTCTTTATTTCTCTGCCTCTTTGGTCCAACAAGTCACCACTCTCCTTTCCTCCCTCCCTTTTTCCACACTTTACCTCTGATTTTGTCGGGTTTTTTTCTCTAAGTGTCTTCTCTCTCTTTTTTTTTTTTTTTGCCTCGTTTCACTTCTTCCCTCTCGCCGTTCGTTCCCTCGCCTCTGCCTCTCTCTCTACAACTTTTCCTCTTCCTGCAGACCTCCTGTTATCCCCCTGTTCTGCGTTTCTTCTTTTATCTCTGCTTAAGTAGAAGTACCTTGCCCTGCGGCTGATAATGAAGACATACTGGGAGGTTTGTCCCGGAGGCGGGACCAGGGCTGCGGTGGAGGGGGGGATGGGAAAGGTCAAATTAAGCAGAGGATGGACAGATAAATGTGAACCAGACCCTCCGGTGAAGTATTGCCTCTGGGAGGTGTTAACACTGGATCAGCCTCCGTCTACTCTCACCTGTCGATCTGCGGCCGGTCTGCTGAGTGAACTATAAGGTCTGTTTCCCAGAATGCCACACTGCACATAAGACATAAACTGTGTCTCTTTCACAGACAGCACACTGAGTCTCACTGTGAGCAGGTGTTGAGTCTGCAGTGGCTTCACTAAAATGATCAGGTACAAGCAGCTTCTTTAAGCGTGTGTGTAAACTCGTTTCCACGTCCGTTCAGACTGACGACATGTAGATGAAGAGCGAGCTGCGGCGCAAACACTTGGATCAGCGTAGAACAGCAGCGTGCTGGACAGGTGACAGGTGTGTCTGCAGTGTTTGTGCTCTGAAGGACAAAAACCAGCACATTCACCAGGTGTTGCTTACATCACAGCTGATGGGAGCTGATGAATAACCACGTCAGAGTCATGTGACCCAGGTGTGAATGCTGATGCTGACAAAAGCCACACCAGTGGAAACGGGGCTGAAGAGTCTACGGGTGCTTTAAAGCTAAATGCTAACACTAGCATGGCATCACCTCGCAGCAACAAAGCTAACGTGCTGATGTTCAGCAGGTATATTTCCCTTGTTCACCTTCATCTGAGTTTAGAGTGTTAGCATGCTAACATTTGCTGTTGGCACCAAACACAAAGGGTCAGTTCCTCCAGCAGTAGGTGGTGTCTCAGGTGGAAGAGTCACAACCACGAATGTCCGACTGTCCGTCAGAGCCGTGCACGTTTTAGTTTCAGTGCACGTTCTCACTCAGGCAGGTTGCTGAGAAATTTATTACAATAAAATCATTTCTAAACAAAAGTCCATATCAAACGCACCCCACCCAGGTAATAGGTACGTTTTAAAGGTAGGAGGTTCAGGTTTAAATCATCAGCCTTTTCCCCAGCCGATCGAACATTAAGGTCTGAACTCACTGGTCGATTCACCGTCTCTCTTTCCTTTGAACTCTTCCTGTTGCTAACCAGCTGTCCATTTTGATTGTTACCTCACAATCAGTCAGACAGAGACAGCAAACAATATAAACAGTATAAAAGTTCCTGTCATTGGTTTATTAGTGATAGGCCTGAAGATGAGAGAAAAAACAATGAAAAGAATTCTTCAACATTTTAAACGTTTTTAAAGTTCCTTTCATTTTAAAACATAAAAATGATGAACACACACACACACACACACATTGGGCCATTTGCAATAACTTTGCGGCCCATCATTGGCCCCGGCCCACAGATTGGGAACCACTGCTTTAAATGCTTTTCTTTTCTTCCAGACGTCTGAAGGTTTCTGCTGCCAGAGGAAACTCTTTAGTTTCAGATCAGCCCCTTCATGTAAAATAAAGATCCAATGATAAAACCTTTGATAAAGACTGATGTGACGATTAGAAAATGTTTTGTGCTTTTACCTCAAATTAACTTCATTAAAACTAAAGGCAGCATTAATAAACAATGAGGAGCTCAGCTGTGTGTGTTAGTGCATAAGAAGAAGACTTAGAAGAATACCCCCCCCCCCGCTTCACAGTGAACAACCACACACAGTTCAGATCAGGTCTGAGTGAGCTGTTCTCCAAACATCCAAATGATAGGTTTAAAGGATAATTACTGCATGACTGGCTCACTGATTGGAGTCAGCACAGAAAACCTGTTAGACCTTTAATGTCTCTGGTCCCTCGGGGGTCGTGAAGGCTTTTCAGAGCAGGAGAGGTTGTAGCTAATATGATCTTAAACATTATGTTAATACTACTGTTAAGATGCTTGATCAGTGATTAGCACCCTGAAATGAAGGACTTTTATTTTCTCCTCTTTGTTGTTGATCAGTCAGGTTGAAGGAGGAGTCACATGATCTGTATGAGCTGTCAGTCACAGCAGGTCACAAGTTTCTCTGGTTGATCTTAAGTTTCAGCGTCTGTCTTCAGCTGCGAGTCAATCACAGCAGATGACATCAAATGTATATAATTGATCAGAAATCAATAGACCATAGTCACACGGCAGCCATTTTCCTCTGTCGTCACACTCATAGGACAAAGTGGTTCTGCTGTGTTCCAGGATGTGACTCGTATGAATAAATAAAATCAGTGAAGCTCCGTCTCCTCTGTCATATGTCAAGTCAACTTTATTTATATAGCACATTTAAACACAGCTGGAGCCAAAGTGCTGTGCAAAGAGTGATTAAAATAAATAGGTGCAACAAATACGTGTACAATACATAAGAGACATAAGTATAATAACACACAAGTAGACAGCAAAAAGCAAGTGCTCCATATGAGACATAGGATAGTGAGCTCAAAGGCCAGTGAATAAAAATAGATCTTTCACCTGGATTTAAAAATGGATGTCAGGTTCCAGCAGGTTCCCTAGTTTTTGAGCTGTAACTGCGACAGCTCTGTCACCTTTTAGTTTTTAGGCAAGCTCGTGGGACATGTAAAAGGGATGAACTTTGAGATCTAGGAGCAGTGGATGAGATCTGAGATCTAACGTGGGGCCTGACCATCGAGAGCCTTAAAGATAATCAGCAGGGTCTTGAATTGAATTCTGAAATGAACAGAAAGCCAGTGAAGGGAGGCTGAGACTGGGGTGATGTGCTTGCATTTTTTACTGCCAGTCAGCATCCTGACAGCTGGACTCTGGACCAGCTGTAATTGGGATACTGAGGTTTGAGGAAGGCCAAATACAGAGAATGGCAGTAGTCTAGTCGAGAAGTGATAAAGGCGTGGGTCACTGTTTCCAGGTCGTTGAAGGACATAATCAGTTTTAGTTTGGAGATGGCTCTTAACTGACTTACTGCTGTGTATCGTCAACATAGAAATAGAACAAGATGTTGTGTTTCCTGATGATGTTTCCAAAGGGCAGCATGTATAGGCTGAATAGGACTGGCCCGAGGATGGATCCCTGGGGGACTCCACTGGTGACAGGGGCAGGAGAGGAGGAGAACTGGTCGATAGCCACTGAGAATGTCCTGTGTTTGAGGTAGGATCCAAAACAGTTTAAAGCAATACCCTTAATACCAACCCACTGTTCTTGACAAGTTAAAAGGATGTCATGGTCGACTGTATCGAAGGCAACACTAAGGTCTTTGAACCCTGATTGGAATGGATCTAAGATATTCAATACGATATACAATTTTTTCCAGTAATTTTGAGATAAACGGCCGTCTAGAAATGGGCCAATAGTTATTCAAGCACTTCGCATCGAGATTATGGTTTTTTATGGTCACATGTTTAAAACATGTGGGTACGGTGCCTGAGGTTAAGGAGGAGTTGATAATGGCTTGAACAACATTGTGGGGAGAGGTTTCATGTTCATAACAGTATTTCTCAGTCTGTGCAGAGTAACCTGTTGGAATTGGTTGAAGTGGGGCTGAAACACCTGGACAAGGGGCAGGATGTCGAAAAGAGAGGGGAAGAAAAGTGAACTGGTGTTTTGAATTTTTTCTGTGAAAACTTTTCACAGAGGCGTCGATGTTGTGGCAGGCGCAGGAAGTGAGGATAGAATTGATAGTGTTGAACAAAATTTTTGGTCTGTGAGAATGTTTACTGATGGTCTCAGTGAAATATTTAGCCCTAGCTTTCTTGGCTGCTGTTTGAAAACTGGCAAGACAATTTTTAAATATTTCCAGTGAGACTGAGAGGTGATCTTTTTTCCCTCTCTGTTCAGCTTAACGACAGGCCTCCCTGAGAGAGCGGGCTGAATCATCCACCACTGATAGCTTTTCACTTTGGATGTCGATATTTGAGGGGAGAACCAGGAAACATTTTTCACTTTATAGCAAAACACCGTCCTGTAATACTCCAATGATCTGAGATCAGTTCTCCTGCAGCGGGGGCTTCGTTCTCCCAGGATGGCTGAGCAGGAGTAGAAGAGGAGGCTCTGCAGTGAAGAGATGGAGGTTGCGATGTTCTTTCTTTGATATGATTTGGCAAAGTGAAGTGCAGTGAGAGTTTATTTGGTGCGAGTAGCAGCCAGATGTTTCGACACTAAGCCGAGGACCTGGTTGGGTGGCACTGAAAACAATTGTATTATGATCGGAGAAACAAGCATCTTCAGTGCTGAGTTTGTCAATCGTGAGGTCATATGACATAATGAGGTCAAGTGTATGCCCTGGTTCATGGGCGTGGCCCCGGCTGTGTGTCAGAGAAGGCCACAAGAGTCCAGGACATGTTTGAATTTGTTTGCCATGGGTTTTCCTGGGCAGCACACATGGATATTAAAATCACCAAGGATTAACAATCTGTCGTACAGTGGGACAATACTAGACAGACTTTCAGAGAATTCAGATATGAAGTCTTTACCTGTCTTCGGTGGTCTATAGTCTAGTACGCAGACTAAGGAGGACATTGATTCAGTTTTTTCAGACTGTGATTCAAAACTAGAGTGACTCGTCTTTAATGTAAACTGAGTGTTGAGGACCACAGCGACTCCGCCCCCTCTGCCACTACTTCGAGGGGTGCTGATGGAAGAACAGTTCGGTGGATACACTTTGTTAAAGCTGTTTCACTTTCACCAGACCATGTCTCAGTTAAAAATACAAAGTCCAGGTTACAGGAGGTAAAAAAGTCATTTAAAATGAAGGTCTATGACTGTTATTGATGCAGGTAGATCATGAGACTATATAATGTTAGTTAATGTTTAACATTTACACAACTTTGGCAACGCTAACACTGACATTTATGTTCATTATAAAGAAA